GTTGGCAGTTGCTTTTGCGTCCACTAAAACTGCAATATGAGGCCCTAAATAAGATGCCTGTCTACGATGCCTTGAGTACTGCGTTGAACGACGAAGAGCCACCTAGTCAGTACGCCAATTCGAACCAGAACAACGCTAGTGACTTTCAGGACCACATTCGGGATTTTTACCAAAAGCTAAAGCCCCAAATACCCGATGATCCTACAAAAAACCTCCAGCCTGATGATATGTTTGCATTTTCGCAATTCCTTCGAACTTTGGAGACCATATTTCTGACTGCACAGGATGCGACAGATTCGGCTTCCGTCCAGGAACTCTTCCGATCAAGTAAACTACTGGATCCCCTCCACACTAATGTTGTTTTTGATGAGGGCAAGATGGCGTACACCGAGGGTGATATTTTGCCAGGACCCAGACTCGATTACGACCTCGAAGAAGACAGGCTTGAAGAGTACCAAAAAAAGCTGGGTACACTGCCATACGCAGAAGATTTTGTTGTTTTCGCTGATAACAACCTGCGATCGATCCAGCTTTTCAATCTAGGAGAACTAACCATAGTAACGATAGAGAGGTCTGCTCCTGGTTCAGTGAATACCAAGGAACCTCTCAGTGGAGGGCTTGAAACGGGTGAACCCCAGAAGAAATCTCGTAACAAGACGCAGGTCTCTGTAGGCACAAGAGCACGAGATTTAGTTAGAACAGCGGTCAAAAATGTTGTCAGTGAGTTAAGCGACCCTGAACTCGCTAATACTCTGGAGAGAGCCCTATCAGAAGAGGCAGCTTTAGCCTCAAACGCGCAGTGTGCTATAAGGAAGGCACTGGAGAACGTTTCTCTCAAGCTCGACAACCCTGTACTCACAGAGCAACTGGAAAGAGCAATCTCTACCGAACTATCCGAAGGCAATGGCACAGATCCAAATCCTTCCCTTCAATCAGACATCGGTGACACCGCCTCCACAGAGGTCTGCCAGACTCATGTGCCCGTTCAGGAGATAAACCAAGGTACAGCAGTCAACTCATTGGGCTCCCAAACAACCCGGTCCTCCTGTCCAAGTAAGGGCAGCGGTGCGCGGATGATGCAAGTACCCAAGTCGAAAGAGACCAACTTCAACAAGTTGACGCCACTGACCAACTGCACCCTTCCGATGATGCAACCGCTCTCATGCACAGGCATCAGCTCAGGTGATACGGGTACGGCAGCGGGCGGCAGTCCTGCAAGCGGCACTTCATCCACATTGGAGCAGAGGGCTTCCCCGCCGACTATCGCTACGTTCAAGGGTTCTGCGCCGCCGCCGCTTCAGGGCAGACGACGCAGATTCACGAAAAAGATGCCCAAACCCAGTCCTGAGGACTCGGACGACGAGGAATCTGACACAGTTCAGCCCATTCCCTGCCTTCAGAGGAGCCGAGCGGTTGTCGATACTAGTGTCTTTCAAATTAGGCGAGCCAGTTCCTGCAGCCGGACCGTCTACCGGCGTTCGCTGGAGAGTTCTGCCTCTACTGTTAACGCTTTTTGAGACTGCACGACTGTTCGTTTAATAAAAGAAAAAAAAAGAACTGCGCATGCGTTAAGAAAACTCGCAATTTTTTCCAAGAAAAAAAATTTAATTGTGAAGTGCAGACATGATATAAGGACACTGTCTGGGGCAAAATTCAAGTACAAAGGAGTGAAATAAAAATTACCGGGAAAGCATGTGTGTCCGAAAAGGGAAGGTTTATTCGAAGGAGTTTCGGGAATATTTCCTTAGCCCTTGTAAACATACGTGGATCGGAGGAAAAAACAACCGTTCTTTTTCTGCCGTCTAACAAAAGGCCATGATATTTCTTGGGCCAATGCTCTGTATTATTGACATTGTACAGGGATCCATCTATAAAGATGGGTATAGTCTAGGCTGACGTCAAGCAGGCTGTAGTGGGCTTGCGGCATGATAAAATTGTTGGAAAATGCCAACGCGTTCAGATCCAGGTTCATTCGGTCGTGGTTTAGAGCCATAAACGCCCCTAGGGATGGTTGACTCAGTGTGGTCTGCTCGATACTCGGAGTTTTGTCGACTGTCTGATTGGTTGTAACAATGACAAAGAGAGGTGGAAGTGGGGTTTGCTTGTTGCTGATCGCTCACTGGTCAGTATTACGCTTTCCAGTGTAGGCAGGAAGTTAGCCACGGTCGTCATCGACAGTAACCTTCCGGGCGACTGAGCATGATCGCTCAGGCCTTGCCAGTGCTCATCGCTGATTAAAGTCTATTGTGAGCTGGATGTCAACCCATTGAAATTCCTGTTTAAATCCGGGGTGGGATTGAAACGGAGACAGTCCATCTTTGGATGGAAGCCCAATATGTAAAGCTGTTGGGTAAACTAGGTCAATTCCTTTTTAACATTGCTGCTGAATTTATTTTCAGTAGGTGTTCTGGTGATCGAAAAAAGCCACTTTGGCCACAGACAGGATGGATATAGAGCACGGCGGACACGTTCAGTCAGAAGACCTTCATTCGATTGACTGGCGTAGGAATGGCCTTCCTTGTTTGGCATCCGCGCGCCATCAGCGGGGATGTCCACACGCTGTAGATGTATTTAACCGAAAGAGCGATAGGTGTAAATGGAAACACGGACAACCAACGTTTAACTACTACTTGGGACCTGCTTTGAATGTTACAGTAATTCAGAGCCAGGCGTCGCTTTACTTGCTGCGTCAGTGCAGAACCAGCCACTCGCGCTCGCATCGTTCTTGCGGAGGGTTTCGCACGCAGGCCTAACAACGACCGCGGGTCGATGACTCAGACCGCCATAGAGTCTCTGTATATAATACGTATATCCTATTGTTTCCTCTTCCCCACTCACCTTAATTCGGACTCTGTTTTGAAATCGTAGGGACAGAGGTAGCACTATTATTACATCCGCAACACTGAACAATCTCTGTATCAGCTATGACATCGCTTGCATCCAGGCGACGAGCGCGGAGTGAAACAGGCAATTGCGACACGGGGGCAGAGGCAGTACCACAAGCTATCAATGGCGTGCACGGCTGCGGCGACATAAGTGACAATGAAATGCAAGCCACACGCAGCGGCTCAGTTGGTATTGGCAGGTTACGCACACGAAAAAAGAGAGCAGTATA